AAAAAAAAAAAAAAAAAAGATAAGCCAGGCATAGCGGTGAGGTGGCGAATGCCTGCAATCTCAGCACTAGGAGGCTGAAAACCAGCCTGGACTACATAGTGAGTTCCAGGTCAGTCTCAACTACACAGTGAGACCCTATCTCAAAAAAACCAAAAAACAAAAACAAAAAAAAGATCAATAGCTGGAGCCAGGCGTGGTGGTGCACGCCTATAATCCCAGCACTCGGAAGGCTGAGGCAGGAGGATCACTGTGAGTTCGAGACCAGCCTGGGCTACATAGTGAGTTCCAGATCAGTCTCAACTATATAGTGAGACCCTGTCTCAAAAAAACCAAAAACCAAAACAAAAAAGGTAAATAGCTGTTTATAAAAGAGGCTATCTTTCCTCCAGTGGGGGCAGTCAGCTCCTTTGTCAAAGATGAAGTAGCTGAGTACATCTGGAGTTGTTTTTCTGTCTTCCAGTCTGTTCCACTGATCCTCAGGTCTGTTTCTTTGCCAGTACCATGCTGTTTTTATCACAGTGGCTTTGTAGTATAGTTTCAAATTGGGAATTGTTATACCTGCTGCATTTTTGTGGTGGAAAAACTGGATCTCAACCTGCCAAAGATTAAAGCTAGACCCTTATCTTTCACCATGCACTAAAGTAAAACCCAAGTGAATTAAAGATCTAAATATTAAAACAGAAACACTAAACTTGCTGGAAGATAAATTAGGCAGAACTCTTGAAGACACTGGCATAGGAAAAGACTTTATGAACAAATCCTCAGTAGCACGGGAACTAGTAGAAAGAATCAACAGCTGGGATCTCATCTTATTAAAAAGCTTCTGCACTGCAAAAGAAACCATCAACAGAACTAAGAGGCAACCTATAATGTGGGAAAGAATTTTTACCAGCTGCTCCTCAGACAAAGGACTACTATCTGGAATATATAAAGAACTCAAAAGAATCAGCCCTCCCAAATATAAAGACCCAATTCAAAAATGGGCATCTGAAATGAACAGACATTTCTCAGACAAAGAAGTAAAAGCAGCAAGTAAATATATGAAAAAATGTTCCACATCACTGATCATTCGAGAGATGCAGATGAAAACAACACTGAGATTCCACCTCACCCCACAAAGAATGGCTGCTATCAAGAAATCAACCAGTAACAAATGTTGGTGGGGTTGTGGGGAGAAAGGAACCCTTCTCCATTGTTGGTGGGAGTGCAGACTGGTGCAACCATTATGGAAATCAATATTCAAATACCTCAAAGAGCTGGGACTAGAGGTTCCATTTGACCCAGACATCCTTCTGCTGGGTATCTTTCCAAAAGAATTAAAGGAATCATACCACAGTGATATATGCGCACCCATGTTTATAGTGGCACAGTTTGTAATAGCTAAATCTTGGAAACAGCCCATTTGCCCATCAGTTGGAAATTGGATAAAGAAGATGTGGTTTTTCTATAAAATAGAAAACTGCTCAGCCACAAAAAATGAGAAATTAGATTCATTCATAGGAAAATGGATACATATTGAGGATATACTCCTAAGTGAAATATATAAGTCACACATGTGTAAATACCGAATAGTTTCTCTGGTGTGAAAAGCTATAATAGTACCTAAGATCCTAATGAGATAATTGACCATGTGAAATAGGAAGAAAAGGGCTAAAGGTGTAGGGAAAGTGGGAAGGGTAGGGGAAAGGTAATAAGGGAAAAGAAAAAAATAGGAGAAAATGAAAAAATAGAAATGAAGTGTTAATAAATGGGGAGGGGAGGAGGGGGTGAAGGGAGGGCATGGACAAGGGGAAAAAAATGAGAACCAAGACCTGTCATGTAAAGGTACAAGATCCTAATAATGAATGTAACTGTACTATATACCTAAAATGTACCAATAAACTCAATAAAAAAAAAGATAAATAGCTGGACATGTTTACACATGCCTATAATCCCAGCACCAAGGCCGAGGCAGGAGGATATTGAGTTTGAGGCCAGCTAGGGCTACATAGCAAGTTCAAGACTAGCCTGGACCACTTAGTGAGACTGTCTCAAAAAGAAAGAAAAACAAAAACACGGAGGATGGACGGACAGACGGTCACCAACACACAAACACCACCCTTTCCCAGAAAGCCTCCATCTTAGTTAAACCACATAATTCATTCAGAAAATACAGCTGGGACTTCAGATCTGTGCCACCAAAGGACAGTTAAGCCTACTTCAAAGTATTACTGCCGGAATTGGGTAACTGTGTCCCTCCACAAATCCACGTGTCTGAGGTTTCAATCTCCAGTTTTCAGGACAAGACTCTACTTGGAGACAAGGTCTTTAAGGTAAGTTAAAATGAGGCAGGTAGGGCCGGGCCCTAAGCTAACATGACAGTGTCATCAAAAGACAGACCTGGGCCGAGGATTTAGCTCAGTGGTTCTGCCACCTGCCTAGCAAGTACAAGGTCCTAAATTCAATCCCTGGTACCAAAAAACAAACAAACAAACAAAAAAACCGGACCAGACAATCATGTGAAAGGGCAGCAAGTATCTTCCACTTGGAAGAAACCAACCCTGCCAGCACTTTGACCTTAAGACTTGCAGCATCTGGAATTCTAAAAAAATAAACTTCTGTGCTTTAAGCCCCCCAATCTATAGTATTTTGTTATGGCAGCCCTAACAAGCTAATTCACATGGTCCAGCTCTTTGGAGCGATGAAAACCTTTAAAAAGTGGAATCTATGAACAGGAATATACGTAAGCAAAAATGCACATCAGCGCCTTACTATAGGAAAGGAGAAGCATAAAACTTAAAGCGACAGAAAACCTGGATCTGACTGCCAACTTAGTTATATAATGATGTATGATCTACTAGCTTGATTCCCTGTTTCCTCATCTGTAAGACACAGTAGTTTCCACATCTTATAAAGTATTGGGAGGATTCAATCAAGTATGGAAAAACAGATGGCAGAGGCAGGTGTATATACTATGTTACTAACATGTCAGTTGAGTCTGAATATTACATCTACCCACCAAGTCAAAAGCATTTGATGTAGGAGATACATTCTTATACTCAACATTTATTCAAAATTTATTGGAATTCTAATTTACAAAATGTTACTTGCACACTCATTGGTATGAATCAGTCCACCATTTCTTGGTAACTCTAAGCTGAACAGAAAAACCTAGCAACCATATTCTGAGAAAGATATGACCATACCAAGCCCATAGCCTTTCACTGCAGAATGAGTCATTTGCACTTTCAAAAGAAAGAAAAACTAGCTCAGGGATAATTCAAGAGCCAAAAGTTTAACACCTACAACTTACCCCAACTGTTCCAGTTTTTAATTTGAATTTGCTTCCACCTTTCATGGCACCAAAGAGAGGCAATGTAAGCTTCTTAGCTTTGTTTCCTGAATCTGAAGCCTGACTTTCAGTCCTAAAAAGAAGGAACAATTATACATATCTATTCAGTACAAAGTTTTATCTAAAAATACTACCCTCTGACAAAAACTTCTAGTAAGACAAAATTTACCACCAAATGAATACTGAGGTATTCAGCCAGACATGATGGCGGACACCTGTAACCAGCCACTTGCGAGACTGAGGTAGGAGGATCGCAGATTTAAGGCCAGCCTGGGCAATTTACTGAGATGCTGTCTCAAAATAAAATGAAAAGGGGGTGCAGTTGTAGTTCAGTGGTATAGCCTTTGCCTTGCATATTCAAGGCCCTGGGTTTAATCCCCAGTACCACAAAAGAAAAAAAAAAAAAAGAAGAAACTATTGAGGCCAGGAGAGTTTTGAATGAACAACGACACTGATGATTTTCAGACAGAGCTATTAAGGACAAGAGGAGACTATTCCCTGTCTACTGATCTGAAACACTATATGACTTCACATTTATAAAATGATCACTACAGCACAAATATCACTGGCAAAGGAGAATATATAGGCAAGATCCCATCTCCAGTGAGCAGCAGAAAATAGACCCATGATATAAAGCCCTATCACCCACCAACCTCTGCAGAGTGCCTCACTTACCTGAGAGTTCACACATAACCAGGCACAGCAACACCAAACAGAATTTGGAAAAGTGTGTGCACTGGGTGGGCAAATGTCCTGTTTACCTAGAGACACTGTGACTGTTGAGCTTGTCAATATTCTCACTGGCTAGAGATAGTTATAAAAGCTAAGCCCATCCGGGCAGTAATGGCTGAGCTGGAAGATGTGCAGACTGGACCAAAAGAGGTGAAAAAGCAGAAGACAGGGCCACAACAGGAGTTGACTGGGGGACATGGCTGGGAGGCAGTTAGTCAGAAACTGGAAGTTCAACCCAACTGTGAAAGGAGGGAGCAGCGACAGAGAATCTAGTCCAGTACCTAACGCAGGAAAGGGGAAAGCCAGGCAACCACTGACTGAGGGGAGGCTTGGGAGGAAGCTGATATACATCTTCTAGCTCAGAACACCCCATGAGGCTGATTTATCAAGTTAAAGGGTTACAGATGTGGAATTAGAACTCACTGGTAATTTATCTCCAATATGCCTACTGAGTTTTCACCTTTTCTTGACAAAAACAATGTTATGAATAGTTGCTAGGCACAACAGAAATAGTAAAGCCTAAGCCAATGATGACAATAATACACATTTGCCAGTGTTTCAAACCTTCCACTTAACCTTTTCCTCACCATCACCTCCACTTTAGAGATGAGGAAAGTGATGACCAAAGATGCTAATAACTTACTCCAGAGTAACCAGAAAGAAATTGACAGCTGAAAGTGAAGCCTAGGAATTCTAACTCTGCTGCTAACCTACCTCCTAAGGTCACTGTGAGGTCACAAGTCATATGAACTTGTGTTGACTTATCCAGGAATTACTCTACAATAGTCCTCTCTTCTCTTCAATGGGTGCCTAAAACCATAGGTATTACCAAAATCTCTATAGATCTTTTTTCCCACATATACTCAAATTTATTGCCTTTCCACCGTTACTAAGTACTTATCATGCCCTGTTGCTACATCTTTTTGCAGTTTGGAATGCAAAAGTAAACTAGTCTCAGTTTTTTGTTTTGGGTTTTTTTTTTTTCTTTTTCCACAATTTCATGGATTGGATATTTGTTCTTACCACAGAATCTTAGCAACCTAAGCAAATAATTTTTTCCTGATTAAGTCAAGAGCTTGCACCTTTTCATTTAAAGAAGCACTTTCTGGCTTCTCTGGCACATCTGAACTGCCAGTAGTACTACTCCTGAACTTTAGCGACATTAAGTAAAATCAGGGTGATTCTCGGGGAGTCGATCTGATAACGAGGTGGCTACTAAGCAGCTGGTGGGTGGGTAAAGTACACAGCATGGATATGCTGGGCAGAGGAACGATTTGTACCCCGGCATATTATTACGGTGTAAAATTTCAGCACACTACTCAAAACAGTGTGCAATTTAAAACTCATGGATTGTTTCTTGATTCTGAGAAGCTGAGGCAGGAGGAGTACAAGTTTGAGCTCAGACTGGGCAATTTAGTAACTCAGCAAAACCCTGTCTCAAAATTGAAAATAAAAAGAGGCTGGATGTAGCTCAGTGCAAAGGCTCTGGTTTTAATCCCCAGACCAAACAATTATTCTTAACAATGACAGAAACAAGCATGAAAAGACAATTTGTGCTTATAGGTTTTTATCTATGGTTTTAAAATCATCTAAGATTTATCAATCCCAAGAAAAGCAGGTCAAAAATATGTACAGATTTAACTTAACACTATCAGAAACCCTTCTACAAGACTTTGATTGTGATTTTTGAAATGCAGCTGTGCCAAGCCCTTGTCCAGGCTAATTTAATGCATTCTAACTCAGTTCTACTGCTTTAACCCCAGGTTTATAACCAGAAGAAAGAAAAAAGGGACAAGTTAAGCCCAGCTTCACAACTTTCAGCCATTTGTATCTAAAATAAATTAAGTTTAGAACTGGGCTCATAAGCGCAGGGTCCCGAGTTTGATCCCCAATCCAAAAAAAAAGGAGCTGGGGATTTAGCTCATGGTGCCAGCACCTTCCTCACAAGTGCAAGGTCCCGAGTTCGATCTCTAGTACCAAATAAATAAATAATTTTTTAAAATAAAATAAGTTAGCTTCAGCCCCTGGGCCCTTCATCTCCAGTCCTCTTCTCTCCACATTAATGTGCAAACTGGGCCTTCTCAAGTAAGGAGAATTTTAGTCTTCTAGTTATTTGAGATTCTGTAACCACAGCACGTAAATTTTCTAAAAATTTTTTTCTTTTAAAAGCACAGTATATTGTAATAAAGTATACTCACAAGCTCAAAACTCAGTAAGTATAATGGGGATATACTGTGAAAAGTCTCCCTCCCACTGCTGTCCCCCAAGCAGGCAGTTCCCTGCAAGAGGCAAGCGATATTACTGGCTTTTTATCAATCTTTCCAGAGACACAGTAGCAGGCACACAGTAGTAGTTGGTGTCCCTCTCGGGAGTCCCTTCACCAGGACTATCAGCTACAGCACACACTGACTGCTCTAGGCCCACGACTGTACCTTTCTCAACAGAATTGCCCTTCTCCCTCCTCAAGGTCAATGCAGGGTTGGGCAGGGACCTAAAAGTCCTAGTCCCTGGCCTCTGTCACACCTGTGATGTCATTACGGCTCTTAAAACCACATCCTTGCCAGGGCCGGGGATTTAGCTCAGTGGCACTGCACCTGCCTTGCAAGTTCAGGGTCCTGAGTTTGATCCCTGATACCAAAAACAAAACAAAAACAACTTTTCCCAGCTTCTACCCATGCCCTATCCTGCTCCCTCCTGCCTTGAGGGCACTCTCTCAGTGAATCAGTGGTAGAGAAATCCCGGGCTAAAGTTGCTCTTAGGAAACCTGACCTAAACAGATTGTACGTAGCATACACAAAAACTGCCCTATTTTCTCAGGTGCTCTTCCCCTAAGGCAAACAGTCCCTATTATACACCACGTCCTGGTACTTGATATCTTTTACGACTTAATATATTTTGACAGTGTTGTTACTTTATGGTTGCCCCCTTTTCTTTTTTTTTAAAGCTATCTAGTATTCTGTTATTCATTTACTCCACCCTCTCTGATAAACATTTAGGCAGCTTTTCATCTTTCACTATCATAAACAATGCTGCGATAGAAGATGTGGTTTTTCTATAAAATGGAATATTACTCAGCCATAAAGAACGAGAAAATAGATTCAGTCATAGGAAAATGGATACATATTGAAGATATACTCCTAAGTGAAATAAATAAGTCACACATGTGTAAATACTGAATAGTTTCTCTGGTGTGAATAAACTGCAATAATACATAAGATCCTAATAAGATTACTGACATTGTGAAATGGGAATAAAGGGGCTAAAGGTGTAGGGAAGGTGGGATAGGTAGGGGAAGGGTAATAAGGGAAAAGACAAAAATGTGAGATAATGAAAAGATGGAAATAAGGTGTTTGTAGATGGGGAGGAGAGGAGGGGGTGAAGGGAGGGCACGGACAAGGGGAAAAAATGAGAACCAAGACCTGTCATGTAGAGGTACAGGATCCCAACAATGAATGTAACTGTACTGTAGCCCTAAAATGTACCAATAAACTCAATTAAAGCTGAAAAAACAAAAACAAAAACAACGTTGCAATACACATTCATCACTTCCTAAGCATGTGAGACAAACAACTAGAAATTAAATAACTAGATCAAAGACATATGTATCTATAATCTGCCCTGATAGGGAATGTCCTAATGTGCCTAAAAGTCACAGCCACATCATACATCCATCATATTCATATTTAACGAACTTTTCTCCATTTCACAGATCAAAATTTGTATTACACTGTAGAATGGGTATCTCTATTGTGAGCTTAAGGATCTTTATATATGTTGAAAACTATTGTCAGTTGATATCCTTTGCCCACTTGTCTTGGGTGATTAATATTCATAAGTCTTTCTGTTTTAAAGAAATTAGCCTTTTGTCCACCTTGCTTTTTAAAGAAGTTTATGGGTGTGGTAACACACACCTGTAATCCCACCATTCAGGGAGGCTGAGGCAAGAGGTTCATGAATTCGCGACCAGCCTGAGCAACTTAGTGACTAAGACCTGGTCTCAAAATTTTAAAAAAGGCTGGAGATATAGCTCAGTGCAAATACCTTGGGTTCAACCCCCAATACCACCAAAAAAAGTTTATTGTGCACAAAAAGGGTTAAGTAAAAAAAACTTCAGCTGGGCTTGCTCTTGGTGGCCCATGCCTATAATATCAGCACCTGGCAGGCTGAGGCAAGAGAATTGCTGTGAGTTTGAGGCCAGTATGGGCTACATAGTGAGTTCAACACCAAACCTAAACTACATATTGAGACCCTGTCTCTAAAACAAAAACAAACAACAACAACCAAAGAAAAGCAATTTCACAGCCTTCCAATTAATCAAGAAATCAGTTCTCTCTGAAAACATTCTAGCAGTCTAGATTTTTGCAAGTGGGTATTTAGTCTCTCTATGAAACCACTGCCTTTTGTGCTTAGTTCAAGGGTGCAGTTCTATGGTAGAAATCTTGTTAGCATATCAGAGGCCCTGGGTTCTACCCCAGCAACTCCATATACACAAAAGAGTTTCTTGCTTGTACTTCTATTTTATAATTAGTATCTAATTAGATCAAAGGATAATTCAAAGTACAAACAAAATTATGTATAAAACACATAAGCTACCATGCTGATTTAACATTCCCAATAATATACTTACTTACTTTTTTAGTTCAGGAATCTCTGCTGGTTTTACAATTTTTATCAACCCTTTAAGTCTCTGTTGTTCTTTCCTCAGTTCAAAAGTTCTCAGGTGAAGTTTCTTCCGGGATACACCATCTAATGCACTACCTGATTTAATTTCTGACATGAATGCATCTAATGAATCCTGAGATGCCGACTCTGAGAGAGCTGTCCAAGAAAGGAGTAACATATATTTAGAAATTTTTAAATTTAGCGAAGTCTTCACAGAAAAGTCACTAACATAAAGCAGCATAAAGATCATCAGTGTTATTAGGAATCGGGAAATCAGTAATAATTGTGAGGCCTTGGGAAATGATTTTATTGCAATGGGCTTTATACCCCTCAGCTATTGAATAAAAAAAGGTTAAATCAAATGATTATAATGTTCTTTCTAGGTCTCAAATGTTGCTCATTAGAAAGATACCGTATAGTTTATCTGATTAACCATTGTAGCCCCTAGTACTGCCTAGCATAATGCCCTGTAGATGACAGATGCTCACAAATATTTGATACTATCATCACCTCTGCTTGAAGCCTTGAGCCTCTCGGAAATTTCAGAGAGTTCCTTCTCAGCATCGTTTAACTTTGCAACCTGTAACACCCAAATTTACACAGTTAACAAATGTTTCTCTCCTTTCAAACACTGTGCATCATTTTTATTTTCATAATTGCTATTGCAAGTTTTAAGAGCTTTAATTCACAATCCCAGCTAAAGCTGCTCCATAAATTAACACTTTCCATTTATTTAACCCCAGTTGAATTAATTTATGAATTAAACTCAGATTAAGTAAAATGAAAAAATTAAACAGAGTAACTGTTGCGGCTTGATTCTAGATGTCCCCCCTCAAAGTCTCATGCAGTCTTTTTCAAAGGTGGCTGAATCTGGAATGCTTGATTGCTAAACCAGTATATATGAGTGACTGGTTTGGCACATCCTTAATCCCGACAGTCTGGATGGGATAAAAGGGGCAGAAAGACTCTGTTGCTTCTGCTGTCTTCCACCAACAAGAACTGTTGGAGCCTGCTAATTTTAGACTGAAACCTCCACAAACTGTAAGCCAAATAAACCTTTTCTTTTTTAACTTTGGATGTCAGGTATTTTGTCTCAGCAACGAGAGAAAAGTAACTAACACAGTAACTCAGACTTTACTCAAAGGAAACCACTTGGGCATTTATTTCCATTGGTAAATCAAAAGGATAGATGTTGGGGAATGTTTTAAACTCCAAATACTATATGCTGTTCCAGACCCATAAGTACCATGCTATCTTCTTCAAAATCCCCTTGATTACTCTTAACTATTTCATTCATCTCAGAAGCCCTACTCTGTTTCTTTTCTGTTTGGGGAGTGACAGCATATCTTAAGAATGTTCATTAATCAGCAATGCCAACCTGGAGGAAAATCTCTAGCAGCAAGCTACATTTTTTTTCTAACAACTTAGATAAGAGTAGCTGTTTGTTATCACTGAATTTACAGATCAAAGGCACTTTGCATAGTGCCTGCCTGGCAAGCATGAGGTCCTGAGTTCAATCCCCAGTACCAAAAAAAAAATTTTTACAGATTCCAAAAGTTATACTTTGGTACCAGATTTAGATACTATTACTTTAAAATTGTAATTATAAAGCAGATTTAGGGGCCAGGGATTTAGCTCAGTGGTTCCACTGCCTGTTTCACAAGCATAAGGTCCCGAGTTCGATCCCTGGTCCCGAGTTCAATCCCCAGTCTCACCCCAAAAAAGATTTAAATAATGCATTTAAAAAATAAATAAATAAACTACCATAGATACTTTTACAAATAAAACTTGCCAGTGATTCAAAAGTCTCTGGCTTCTCATCAATCTTCCCAGCCTTTTTCATTCGGTTCAGACGCTTCTTCTCAATCAGGCCAGTCCGATCAAGGAATGTATCATCATCACTATCGTAAAAGTCTTCATCCTCCCAGTTCTTGGCTTTCCTTTTCCGAGATACTAGAGGTGAATAAAATGATTGAAAGTGAAATAATTTTTTTTTAAAGGCAAGTACAAGTAGGAAGGCTGATTAAAGAGGATTCCACAACCTACCAAACATGAAAAACAAAGGGTACGCTGGGCATGGTGGCACACACCTGGGACACTGAGGCAGGAGGATCACAAGTCTGAGCCCAGCCTCAACATCTTAGCCACTTAGATCATGTCACAAGATTTAAAAAGAAAGGAGAGAGAAAGAGAGGGAGAGAGTATGAAAGAGAAAGAAAAAGAGAGATAAAAGGGGGAGGGCCGGGCATTTAGCTCAGTGGTTCTGCTGTCTGCCTTGCAAGCGCAAGGACCCGAGTTGGATCCCCGGTACCAAAAAAAAGGGGGGAGAGAGGGAAGGAGAGGGAGAAAGAGAGAGAAAGGAAGGAAGGAAGGAAGAAAAAGGGATGGGATGTAGCTCAAGACAAAGGCCCTGGGTTCATTTCTCGGTACTGAAAAAAACTGAACCAAACCAACAAACAAAAACACCAAAGGGCTAAACTTTGAAGACATGATGCTAAGAGAAATAAACCAGAATCAAAAGGACATTTATTACATGATTGTACTTATAAGCAGTAACTAACCCAGTCAAATTCACAGTAAAAGTAGAATTGTAGTTCCCAGAGGCTGGGAGCGGGGAGAACAGTTAATGCGACTGGACTCAGCTGCAGTACAGAATGATGAAAAGGTTCTGGGATGAAGAGCGGTGATGGCTGCACAGCACAGTGACTACACTTAATGCCACTGAATTACACACTTAAAATGGCATGTTTTGTGTGTATTCTGCAACAATGAAAGATTAAAACAAAAAAGCTAGATTACTAAGCAAAATGTTCTTAAAAATCAGTCACAAAAGAAAAAGACAAATGAGAAAAAGGTCACTAGAACAAAGGAATAAACCAAGAAATATCAGAATTGAGAAACAGAAAAGCCGACGCTAGAGAAAAACCAAGGAAATCCTCAGGGATGACAGAAAAGTCAAATGCAAAACAAAGGTTCTGCAGATCTAGAGAGCAATTAGCCCTAAAAGGAGGGTAGAACTCTTCAGGAGAAGTCTCCCAGAATATCAGAACTCATAAATTAACGTGACTAAACAATGTGGAAAAACATAATGAAAGGCTACTGGAAGATAAGAAAGGATGAGCCAGAGGTACATACAAAAAACTTAAATAACAAAAGAAAAACACAATCATTGCCCTTAGGGAAAATAAAAATAGAACTGGTCACCTGTGACTAAAATTTATATAAGCATAAACATACAAGTACTAAATACTAATTTATCAGAGCCTACAAATAATATCGAAAATAAATAACTTAAAATAAAACAATGTATTCTTTTGTTTGTTTTGGTAGGAGGGATTGAACTCCAGTCCTTGTGCTTGCAAGGCAGGTGGCAGAACCACTGAGCTAAATCCCCAGCCCAAAACAATGTATTCTTTTGTTTGTTTTGGTAGGAGGGATTGAACTCCAGTCCTTGTGCTTGCAAGGCAGGTGGCAGAACCACTGAGCTAAATCCCCAGCCCAAAACAATGTATTCTTGTTTCTTAGATACATAGATACTTTTAAATGCCAGAAAAAAAAATCTAAAAAGTTGAAAGGCTATAGGAATGAGGACTAAGAAAAGATAGGGCAAGGTATACTTTATTTTAACCTTTTTAGTGGTTGAAAGTCAGATAAATTACTTGGCAACAATAAAAATTAATTTTAGAATACTTAAAAATATAATACAGGCCTATTAAAATAAATGATGGTATGGCCGATCTTTGTAACGAGATAAATCAAATGTATTTATATGGACAATAATCTATAAACGTTCTTATGTTACAAAAATGAGTCACAACCTGCAACCCCAGCCCTCTGGGGAGCTGAGGCAGAAGAATGGAAAGTTAGAGTGCACCTGGGCAATTTAGCAAAACAGGAAGATATTGTCTTCACATTTTAAAAAACAGACCCCGCCCCAAATGGGCAGAAGATCTAGCTCAGTGTGAAGGCCATGAGTTCAATTCCCAGTACTGCCCCCCGAAAAAACGTGACTCACAAAAAAATCTAAGTAATAAGGCTGCACTTGTGTAGGAGTATGTGTTTTTTGTTAAAGGATCTAGTTTTAAACTTTTATTTTATTTTATTTTATTGTTTGCAGTGCTAGAGATTAAACCCAGGGCTGTGGACATGACTGGAAAATACTCTATCGCTGAGCTACATTCTCAGCCCCAGGATCTAGTTCTTCTCAATATACTCACATATGCTTAGAAAATGTTGGGAGAATATAAACACTTGACTAGCTACTATTACAGGAAATTCCTTTTTCGTTTTAAAAAAATCTCTGCACATTTCACATTTTCCCCGTGTAAAGAGGTTTTACTATATTATGTGTTTTCTTTTTTTAAATGTTTTTTCTAATTTTTCCTTTTCTTTTTTCTTTCTTTCTTTCTTTTTTTTTGGGGGGGGGGTACTGGGGATCAAACTCAAGTCCTTACACTTGCGAGGCAGTCGCCAGAACCACTGAGCTAAATCCCCAGCCCACCTTCCTTTTCTTTAAAGAGAAAAATACCTCCCACTTACTGACCTGCTTCCTGCCGCAGCAATCCCAGGGTGTCAAGAATCCGACAAGCTTCCAGGGAGCACAGGATCATTGCTTCCTTTTTCTTTCCTGAGTGAATGGCCTCTGCCACCAGTTGCTTCCCGGTTGAGTCATCCACTGGTAACCTGCATTGATTTAGAGGGAGTTACAGCACAGTACTAAGCTCAGTTCTCATGGAAACAACGTGCAGTGCATTCTTCAGATGGCTTTTCAACGTCTCAAATTCATTTTGTTCTATCTTACCAAGACCAGACTTTCCAATCTTTTCTTTTCACCTCTTACTCATCTCATCCCACCTCCCAATACTGTGGTTTTGTTTTCATTTTTTGTTTTTTTGTTTTTTGTTTTGGTACTCGGGATCAAACTGGGATCCTTGTGCTTGTGAAGCAGGTGCCAGAACCACTGAGCTAAATCCCCAGCCCCCAATACTGTTATTGAATGATCAAGGACCAAATCTGGGAGATGCCCCAAATTAATCTAATGTGATGCTGTGGATTGTCTACAACCATAAATTAACCTGAAATTAGGCACTTTCCAGAAATGAACACTAATAAGAAAAGAACATACCTCACCCTGCAGAGCCAAGTGCTATGTCCTTGTTCATCAAATTCATATTCTAATTCTTCTCCTGTGGGAGCAGAAAAGAAAAAACAACTTGAACAGGATCTGAAAATTACTAGTTGACACAAGGTGGAAAAAGAGCAAAAGTTAAACAAGGACATCAATTTTCTACTCCACACTGAATACTAAATTTCAACAGATTTCACTTCACATTTCTAGGGACTGTAATACGATAATAAAACCAGGATGAGTTTGACAAAGAGCAAAGAAAACTCATCAAAACAAACAACTCCTGTGCTACACATGTAGCTCAGAGGTACAGTGTGTTTTAGCATGGACATGGTTTTGGGTTCAATCCCCAGGGTTGCCAAAAAATAAATAAAACCAATCATCCCCTACCTACAGTTTTGTTCATGCAAGAGTAGTTTTCACATTGTCTATAACTATAGATTCAAGCGATTATTTTGTCAAGTTGGTTTTTAGAACCTGAAAAGCACAAGGTCCTGAGATTGATCCCTAGCACCAAAAAAAAAAAAAAAAAAAAAAAAAGATTTTTACTATTTTCTTTCTTTTGGCAGTACTGAGGACTGGACCTAGCCACAGTTTTTGCACTGAACTATACATCCCTAGTACTTTTTTTTTTTTTTTTGAGACAGTCCAACTAAGTGGCTAATTTGCTGAACCTGGGCTAGAACTTGCAATCCTCTGGCCACAGCCTCCCAGAATGTCGGTATTACAGGTGTGTATCAGCAGACCCAACTAGATTTTACTATTTCAAAACAAACATAGCACTAGGGATGTAACTCTGAGGTACAGCACTTGCAAAAGGCCCTGGGTTCAGTACCCAGCACTACAAAAACAAGAACAAAAATAAACTTGAAGGAACTGAAATAAAGGTAAGAAGTGAACAAGGAAGACAGCAGATAAAATAAAGCATTTCTCTACATGAAGCTCAACCTGAATGCCTAGAAAATAACACTGCAGGCCAGGAATTTAGCTCAGTAGTTCCGCCGCCCGCCTCGCAAGCGCAAGGTCCTGAGTTCGATCCCCAGTACCAAAAAATAAATAAAGAAACTAAAAGAAAGAAAAAGAAAACAACACTGCAATGGACACATTTTACTGTCAGGGTCAGGAAATGTGTACATACCTTCTCGGTCAAAGAAACCTTGGAGAGCCTTTTTTGGATCTTTTATATAAAAGGCTTCTCTTTCCTGCTGAAACTCTAAGACAATGGGATTCTCTTCAGCCTCATCCTCTACAGCATCTTCACCTACAGTACATGAGAAAAGCAGAAAATCGGACATAAGACTGTCTGAATGACACCACTAGTATTTCTGGCCACATCAAGATATACTTACATATGATAAAAAGATACATGAGGCAGGAGAAACAACTACAAAAACACCACTATGTGTATCTTCAGGTTTTCTAACTTATAGAGAAAGCAAAATTTTTCTGTGGCACTTTAATGTCTTTTCATCACTTTCTGGTGAAATTTACCTATTACACTTTGGAAAATAAATCTGAGTTCCTCAGCCTGGTCTAATACTTGGTCTCCAATATAATTTCCTAATACTTCTCCTACTGCTAAATAGACTAGTTAACTCATTGTTCCCTTAAAATCATCAGTCCGAGCCCTGAATACTAATCCTAATGCTCAGCTTCATAAGGGCTACTTTTCCTTCCTGTGAGGTTCGAGCTTAAAACCCTTCTGCTTATAAACTTAGTTTCCCAAAGACCTAACTCAGTCCTGTCCAACAGAAATCCAATGAAAAAGCCATACATATCTTGAATTTAAATCTTAAATTTCCTATCAGCTACATTAAAAAGTAAAAAGAAATAGGCAAAATTATCATTTCACTGTGTAGTTAAAACAAGAATTTATATTCTTTGTTATATCATCTTTGAAATCCAGTGCACTTTGTACTGACAACATGTCAATTTGGACTAGCCATATTGCAAGTAAGTACATTAAAAACAAAACTTAAAATATCCATAATGTGTAGAGGTACAAGATCCCAACAATGAATGCAACTGTACTGTATCCCTAAAATGTACCAATAAACTCAAAGCTGAAAAAAAAAATATCCATAGTGTTCACAATTACATTTTTAACATCAGAAAAGTTAACGACTCTCTGGATTTGGTTCCCATACATGCAAATTGTTTTTGCCCTAGTTATGAAAAGCTACAAGATTTTTTAAAATTAAGAGTACCACTAGTAATAAACTTAAAATATCAACTTCTGACGTCAATTGTCTTACCCATTCCCCAGGTGCAGCCCATGTCATCCTCTTGGCCACTTGTATTTCCCTTCCTTTCCGTGGTATCTATTTCTTCCTCATCTGAGTCTTCTCCTAGCATCTTCTTTTCCAGTAACATTTGTTGCTGGTTTCTCAATTCCTTCAACTGTGTTACTGTTAACTCGGATTCTGCCTCTCGGTCTTCCTCTGGGCCCTGATGGACCAAGCAAAGAATTTAAAGCAAAACAAAAAAAAAATAGCTTTTTTTTTTTCTTTTACAGTTGAGGAAAGTGGAAGTAAATTTCAGAAACACGGCAACGTGTAGTGTGTGAAGACGAGGGTCCACAATGATTCGTCTTTTTTTTTTAATTGCTGAGTAGGTGATTCTCTTTCCTCAGCTAAAACTTCCCAACACGGTGAGGTCCTGAGGCTTCAACTTATGTTTTTCTACTTACCTGCAAGATAAAGAGCCGAGTGCTGCCTCCGAAGCGAAAAACGTGTCCGACGTGGACCCGACAATAGGTGTGGGGTGGGATGCGAGTCTTGTTGAGAAAAGTGCCGTGGGTACTTCCCAGATCGTACAGATAGAAGCCCTGCCCGTGGGCGTCGCAGTCTCCGCCTTGGTCAGGCGCCCTGTGCTGCAGCACGGCGTGGTACCGCGACACCGAAGGATGCTCCAGGCATATGTCGCAGCTCGACAGCCTCCCGAAAAGGCAGCAACTCGCTCCTCTCAAGCTACGGGTGCCAAGGATGGTGCCGCCCTTCAGTGTCTCTAGGCTGTAGGGGGCCGTGGCCGGGCCGCCCCACGGAGGCTCTTGGTACGGGGGTGCACGGGCCGGGCCTCCCGGGGAAGAAACCGCAGTGGGGGGACGCAGCTGCTGCTCCAGGGCGCCCCTCGGCTCCCCGCCGTCCGGCTCAAGCGGCAGCGCTTTGGGCTCCCCAGATTCTGCATCCGGCAGCACCGTGGGACGTTCCTTCGTCACCTCCTCAGGGTCTGCAGGACTGACTGCCGAAGCCTTACCCCGTACCGCCGAGGACCCTGGCAGGGCTGGCTTCTTGAAGTCGCCACTGAGTTCTACGGATGCGGGCGGATCAGACAGAGACGCGGTATCAGCCATCCTCGAGCGGGTGCAACCTCGAAACGTGTCCCTGGACAACCTCACCCTTCGCTCCGTGTTCCTGCCCTCATCTCCCTCTTCCTAACTCCCAAGGGGCGGGAGTAACCCCCCCCCCCCAGTCTCTGGGCAGGAATGGTAAGAACTGATCCTTCACGACTCACAGTGCTGTAAAGTGGCGCGTAACACAAAAAAAGTCAAAATAACTAAATGACTGTCGTGGTACTGTGCAGCATGGGGACATCTTTGGAGGCTGCAACAGGACTGTAATGACTTCCCGTGGCACATCCTAATTGAAAGAAGCACTTCCGGCAGCCCAGGACCACTAATCAACAAACCTGCCTTCTAGGCTGGGCGCGACCCTTGTCCCTGGGCTCCGGAGTCAGACGGCCGCCCAGCCGACTCCTGGAATACGGTAGTAAACAGTGACGCCTTTTTTGCCTGGGTTTAAGTGCAGAGGTCCCCATCTTCCGGCTGCCCTGGACGTCAGGTGTGCCCAGGATCCTGTGATTGGCGTCTGCGCCTGTGACCGAGGAACACCCCACGGAGGAACTTGGGCATTCCTTAGGTTAGAAACCTGGCCTTCCTACTCCTTTCGGGGAAGTTAGGGAAGAAGGGAGCTATTTTTTGTTGCTTCGTTCATTCATTTATTCTTTCCGAAATGAACTAAGGTAGCAGCAGAATCTATGGTTGCTTAGTAGCGTTGACTGTGACAGTGGGCAAGACATTGGGCCTCAACCTTTATATCTGAAAAATAGACAATAATGTTATCTACTTCATAGAGTTGTAGAGAGAATTGGACTAAACAATAAAAGTGAAGATTGGCATACAGTAAACACTCAATAAATGCCAGGAACTGTACCAAGATCATAACCATAATAGGTAGGTGGGGGAAATAAAGTTGATTGAAATAAGTACTGGTTAAAATCCAGGAATAAATGCTGCGACTGAGTCATGTAAGGTGAGACGAAAATATAAGGAAAGGATATGTACAGGAGTGATAGAGGGTGCTACCTTAAGCTATTCTTAAGAAACAATTTAAGTCTGCTGGGGAATGGAGGGTTTTAAGGCATTTTTGGCTGAGCTCACAAGGTCAACTTTGGGATTGCGAAAACTGAGTAATAGCCAGGTATGGTGGTGCGTGCCTATAATCCCAGCACTCAGGAGGCTGAGGCAGAAAGATTGTGAGTTTGAGTATTGAGGCTAACCAGGGCTACATACAGAGACCCTGTCTCCAAACAAGAGAAAGATATTAGAACTAAAGTGGCCATGTAGTCCAAGTATTAGGAAAAAAAAAAAAAGGTGGAAGAAACAAAGGTACGAGCTCAACAGGTTAGGTTTATTTCAGAACAAACCTGAGAGGGACTGCCTGGCACTTCGACCGGAGTGGATAACTCCTGTACAGGCTATGAGGTCTTTTGCAAGGTCATGAGCATAAAGAGGGGGTGTGAAAGGAAAAGATAAAAATGGGACTTTCAAGGGGGAGAGGTCAGTGAAAAGGAGTTGTGGCTGCCTGCCAGGGACGAGGGTTGAGAGCGAGCAGGAGTACTGGTTTCTTGTTAAGAGCAGGGCTGAAGAATGATGGCTGATACAGGGTACAGCTGTGCTCAGGGGACCTTAGCAACCCATGATGATCCATCTTTGGCAGGTGTGCAAACACGGGGGGGGGGGGCATGAGGTTTAAAGCGGTCTCTGTTCGGCCTAGGATGGCGGCGGTCGGAGTCCTTTACCAAGAAGCTCCTTCTGCCTGCTTCCACTGCAGTAGCTCTGTGTCTTTAAAACAGCACTTGCCACACACTTTTGTATTGAAATATTTTTCAACTGTTTCTTTCCCTCACTTTAGGACCCAGAACTTGCACTTTGGTCTTTCTTTGTCTCCTCACGTAATGCCTGGCATTCAGTAAGTGTTTGCTGAACCTGAAGATACGTATGAGCAATGAATCTGGAAAGGTGGGTTGAAGCCAGACTGTGAACTTCGTTGAATGATAAGCCAAGGAATTCTGACTTCTTCCAGGAGGCAATAGGAAGCCATCATATTTTATTAAGTCTAGGAGCAGTGTGAAAAATAGATTGAATACATGAGGAATGAATATGAATGAGAAGGCAGCAGAAAACTCTTAAGATTCTTCTTTATACATGTTAAATGTTGAAAGCATAAGTCTTCATTAGCCACTCCTATATTTTCCCTCTGGAGCCAGTTAAAATGTTATACTGCCCGATGCACATAGAGTAAGAACCACCTCTTACTTGTTTTTAACTCTAATTCTTTTCTCCTAGGGATCCAGAACAGTTGTATTAAAATTCTTTGAGGGCCTGGAATTTAGCTCAGTGGTTCTGTCACCTGCCTCAAAAGCGCAAGGTCCTGAGTCTGATGCCCAGTACCAAAAAAAAAAAAAGATTCTTTGAGACACGGGGCATAGTGGCACATGCCTGTAATCCCAGTACTCTGGGAGGCTGAGGCAGGAGGATTCCATGAGTTCAGCCTGGGCTGCATAGTGAGTTGGAGTTCAGCTTGAACTGCATTGCAAAACCCTACCTCAAAAACAAAAAACAAGAAAAAGAAAGAACAATAAACCCAGTATTTCTGAGTTATCCACACACCCCCCATACTGAGAATTGAACCAAGGGCCTTTGTACTGAGCTATATGCTCACACTGGGTTTCTTGTTTTTTCTTTTTCTTATTTTTTGTTTTTGAGATAGGGTTTTGCAATGCAGTTCAAGCTGAGCTCCAACTCACTATGCAGCCCAGGCTGAACTCATGGCGTCCTGCTGCCTCAGCCTCTTGAGTGCTGGGATTATAGGCGTGCACCTCCACGCCCAGCTCAGGCCTCAAATTTAAGTAACATACTTTTAAATTTTTGTTTTATTTTGTTGAGACAGGATCTCACTGTGTACCCCAGGCAGGCCTCAAACTCGTGGTGATCCTCCTGCCTCAGCCTCTAGAGTGCTGGGATTATAAGCATGAGCCACAGCACCCTACTTAGTTTTGCAGATTATTTAGGAAGAGGCATGATGGTAGTTCTTGAGTTAGTGAATTGAAACAGAAAGTGAGAACACTGAGGATTTAGCTCAGTGGCACCACACCTGCCTCGCATCCCTGGTATTAAAAAAAAAAAGAAAAGCAAAGAAAGTGAGGACACTAGAGCCCCAGACATCATTGCAGCTGTTTATCTACTAAGGCCTCAGCTCCTAACTTTTGGTTCAGTCCAGTAGGAATTATCTTTGTGTGACGGTGATCAGCAACTAACAGTTGTATTTCTCTTCATTTCTCCAGGGAGAACATCTTTGGTCCTCCAGTTTGGCTCCACTGATATTTTTCACAGTGGTATTAAACAGCTTGCATTTTGTGTAAATAACTGGCTAGACTTCTGTTTTTCACTACAGAAGTCTCCAACCTCCAGTTACCAGAGACTTAAAGGGATTACTTATAGGATATCATCTACATCAACCCTGAGAGCTCTTCCTTATTCCAAAATGTTGAGGTATTGGGGAGAGATACCCATGTCATCGAGCCAGACCAACAGAAGTTCCTTTGACCTGCTCCCTCGGGAGTTCCGGCTGGTGGAAGTCCATGACCCGCCCTTGCACCAGCCCTCGGCCAACAAGCCCAAGCCCCCTACCATGCTGGATATACCCTCGGAGCCATGCAGCCTCACCATCCATACCATTCAGTTGATCCAGCACAACCGACGCCTTCGCAGCCTCATAGCCACTGCTCAGGCCCAGAATCAGCAGCAGACAGAAGGTCTCAAAACTGAAGAAAGCGAACCTCTTCCCTCCTGCCCTGGGTCACCTCCTCTGCCTGATGACCTGCTCCCTTTAGATTGTAAGAATCCCAATGCACCGTTCCAGATCCGCCACAGTGACCCAGAGAGTGACTTTTATTGGTAAGGCAAAGTTTTGCTGTGACTTATTTTTCTCAGGCAGTCTTCTGACAACCCTGTTAAGGATATAAGAGCATCTCCATTTCCGCATGAGGAGACTGAGGATAAGAGCAATTGACTTGGCCAGGGTCGCTCCATTAACTAACAAGATATCTAAATTTTAAACCAGGTTTTCAGAATTCAGAGTCTATATTTTTAAAATTTAAATGCAGTAGATACTTACTGAGTGCTTACTATGTGCCAAGCATTTTACTAGATACAAGGTAATACACTGGAAAAAAGGCCAAGGTCTCATAGTCTTCAGAATCCTGTCTTAGTATCTTCATTGTTGCTTCAAATAGCTTACTGTGTTCAAATTGGGATTCATGGACTTACTCTAATATTATTAGGAATCTGCAAGTCTATACAAGAATTTTTTTTTTTTTAGACAGTATCCTTCTGTAGCCCAGGCTGGCCTTGAACTTGAGATCCTCCTACCTCAGCCTCGAGTTCTAGGAATTATAGGCATCTGTCATAGCACCTAACTTATAAGACTTTTAAAATCCTATATTTTCAACTTCTTTCTCTCTCTTTCCTTTTTTCTTTCTTACTGAGACAGGGTCTTGCTATGTAGACCAGATTGGCCTTGAACTTGCTGTAATCCTGCCTCAGCCTCCTGAGTGCTGGTAATTACAGGCATGTGCCACCACACCCGGCTTTGTATTTTCATTTTGATAACATATAATTTAGGAAATAGTGTAAAAATGTTCTTAAAAGCTGGGTGTGGTTGTACACCCCTGTATTCCCAGCACTCAGGAGGCTGAGGCAGGAGGATTACTGTGAGTTCAAGGCCAGTCTGAACTACATAGCAAGAATATGTCTTCAAAAATAAAGTGTTCTTGGGCTGGGGATTTAGCTCAGTGGTTCCACTGCCTGCCTTGCAAGCATAAGGTCCCAAGTTTGATCTCTGGTACCAAAATAAATAAATAGTGTTCTTAAATCTTGTTACTCAAAATCTGTTCCAAGATCAGCAGCATCACCCTGGTACTTGTTAGAAATGCAGAATCCTAGGCACCCAAGACCTGTTGGATCAGAATTTGCATTGAACAAGAGTTACAGGAAAAGCCATGGATCCGTGAATAACTGTGAGAAGCCCTGCTGCAGAGTCTCTGAATGACTGCTTTGTAACCTAATGCTACTACTAGGGTTCAGGGTATACATTTATATTTAATGCCAGTTACCTTTCATTTTGAAATTTGTCAGACCTACAGAAGAGTTCAAGTAATAGAATAGACATTCAAATGCCCTTCATCTGGTTCTGCCAATGGTTAATATTTGACCATATCTCCTTTCTTACATGTATATGTGTATAATACACATATGGACAGAACACAAATATATACAATATATATGTATACACACAAACGTTTTTGCCATTTTAATGCATATCATAGACATTATATTTTACCCCTAAATTCTTCAGCATTCATACCCTAAAAATAAGGAGATATTCCCACATAATTATAGTATCAGTATCGTAGCAAAGTGTATGAATGTTAATTAATGTCATTTAATAAGTCCATATTCAGATTCCTCCAGCTGTTCCTAAAATATCTTTTATAGATATTTTTCCCATCCAGAATCTAACAGAGTCATGCATAGCATCTAATTGTTATGCCTCTTTAATACCTTCATGAGTGTGGGTAATAGTCTTGTGAATGTCCTTACTAGATTCACTGATTATTTCCTCGGAGTTAGATTCAGGTTAAAGAAGTGTGACAAGAATACTGCAGAAATCGTATTGTACATCATTTACTACACTGCCTATCAGCGATGATGGTATTTTTATTGTCCAAAACTAACAAGAACAGTAGGTTTACTGCATTAGGGCTGCAGTTGGCCCATCTGATGTCAAAACATTGTGTAGCTGAAAGTTCTGACGTCACTGGAGTAATGAAAGGGTGAGGATAAATGTGTTATTACGTGCATGGCGTGCACTAGCATAGATACGCTCAACTCAAAAAACTTACTCTGAAGCAATCGGCAAAATTTTGAGGGCAATATAATTCAATAAAATAATATCTCTCATATCAAACTGACAATGTTATCTAGGCATGGTTGTCCATGTCAGTAAGCCCAGCGGTCTGTTAAGCTGAGGCAGGAGGATTGCAAGTTTGAGCCCAGCCTAGGCAACGTGGCAAGACCCTGTATCCAAAAAAGAGTGCAATGGGCCGGGGATATAGCTCAGCGGTTCGGTGGCCTGCCTTGCAAGCGCAAGGACCCGAGTTCTATCCCTGGTACCAGAAAAAAAAAAAAAAAAAAAAAAAAAAAAGTACAAAGGCTCTGGATTCAACTCTAAGTACCATACCCCACCAAAAAATTGATGCTATTATTAATATCATATCAGTGGGACCACCACCACCACCAACCCCGCTTGACAAGCACAAGGTCCCCAGTACAGGGCTGAAAAAAAAACTTATCAAAACTGAACAGTTCAGCCAGGCATGGTGATGCATGCTTGTAATCCCAGCACTTGGGAGGCTGAGACAGGAGGATCGCTGTGAGTTCGAGACCAGCCTGGGCAACATAGTGAGTTCCAGGTCAGTCTCAACTACATAGTGAGACCCTGTCTCAAAAAAACCAAAACCAAAACCAAACAAAAAAACTGAATAGTTCATAGAAGGAAGTTTCCTTTTCCCTAGGTAACCTTTTGTACTCTTATTAGAGACAGACACATATTGCTATTCAAACCACATAGTCAGAGAGGCTCAGAGACATGACCTTGGGTGGCCTGGACCTGGCCTCAGCAGCACAGTGAAACTCAGCTGTGTAAACTGGGTGGAATTTTCCTGGAAAGCAGGGCCAGTGGTTTGACTGGATCTGTAAAACTCCTAGAGACCAGACAGGTCACCCCTCAGCATGAGCACTAATAACACTCTTGGCTGCACTTTCAGTGGGAAAGGGGAACCTGTGACCGAACTCAGCTGGCACTCCTGTCGGCAGCTCCTCTACCAGGCAGTGGCCACCATCCTGGCCCATGCAGGCTTTGAGTGTGCTAATGAAAGCGTGCTGGAGACCCTCACCGATGTGGCACATGAGTATTGCCTCAAATTCACCAAGCTGCTTCGCTTCGCCGTGGATCGGGAAGCCCGGCTGGGACAGACTCCTTTCCCTGACGTTGTGGAGCAGGTATTCCACGAAGTGGGTATTGGCAGTGTGCTCTCCCTCCAGAAGTTCTGGCAGCACCGCGTCAAGGACTACCACAGCTACATGCTGCAGGTGAGCTGACGTGTGCAGAAGTGGGCAAAATTGTCCGGTCTAGGGATGTTCGGCGGGACCTCACAAGCCTTGCTCTAAAGTGCAGAACACGGGGTTTGGAGTGAATGTAACATTCTTTTCTCATGGCCTTAGCTGTATTCCTTTGGTCTTCTTCCTGATTTGGCCAGCCGTTAGAGTCCTGCTTTAATTGGGAACAGCCCATTCATGGATACTCCCTCTGGAAGAAATTATACACAGATATATGGCATCTGAGTGAATGTGGTTAGCATTTTCTTATTCAGCAGATGTCTGTTTGAGGGCTTCTTGTGCATCAGGCATTGTGGGACGTAGCAGCTAGCAAGACAGGTTCCTTGATCTTGCAGTCTTGCTGAGGGCAAACCAAAATAGGTAAACAAATACTGACCATAATATTAGGTGCTGTGAAAAACAAAGTTTGCGCGGTAGTAACTCCCAGGAGATTGGAGAGGAGACCTCTTTGGTTAGACCATGAATATCTCGTCAACTCTTGCAGCTGTGAGAAGTCATTTGTTCACTGTTTCAGTTTCCCAAACCTAAAATATGATTGCTAATTTTTAACACTCAACAACAACCCAAAGAAGACTTAGCTAAGTAATCCACGTTTCCTACCCAGTTTATTACCACCTAGGTACATATGCCTGTTACTTTTTTTTTAATTGATTTTATTGGTACATTTTAGGTATACAGTACAATTACATTCATTATTGGGATCTTGTACCTTTGCATGACAGGTCTTGGCCTAATGTTACTTTTTATAGACAAACGTGTAATCTTTTGTTCCTGATTTATCTGTAATACAGTCTAACCCTATTTTATTTTTTTACTTTTAACTTTTAATTGATGAAACACATTTCCTGGCATATTTTCTTTACAAGTCTCTTCCACTTATAAATGCAAACTCAACATCTTAAATTCCTTCCCTTGGCAGTGCAAGTTTTCGTTGTTTTGCTGTGCTGGGAGAAGTGAAATTTTAAGAACTCTTCTGTTACCCATATTTTGTCGGCTTTTCCTTAGGATGCCACATGCTAACTGTCCAGTTTGATTCTAAGGTAGCCCTGCAATATTCACTCTTGCTTGCCAACAGATTAGTAAGCAACTCTCTGAAGAGTATGAAAGGATTGTCAACCCTGAGAAAGCCACGGAGGACACAAAACCCGTGAAGATCAAGGAGGAGCCAGTGAGCGACATCACCTTTCCTGTCAGCGAAGACATAGAGACTGACCTCGCTGCTGGAGACCAGTCCCTGCCCATGGGAGTCCTCGGGGCTCAGAGCGAGCGCTTCCCTTCTAACCTGGAGGTGGAAGCCTCACCACAGGCTTCGAGTAAGAGATGGCAGTGTATTCCATTTTGATTCCAGGAGATCTGCTAAGTTTAGCATTAGCAGTCAGTAGCACTTAGGAATCAAGCTCCGGAGGTAGGAGAACAAAACCAGGAGTAGGCAGAATGGAAAGTGATCCGTCCTTAGTGATCTAAACATCCCAGAATTATTATTTCTGATTAGTGAAGAGGGGACCAGCACAGCTTTACAGGCTTTCTTCAAAGTAATCTCTACGTAGGATGCGGATGCACTGTGTGTTGTCTGCTGATTACCAGGATGGATTCCGCTCATTCACCTGGTCGGGCAGATGCCTCTTTTTCCTTTAGGATTCTGTTAGGCATTCCTGATGCTGGTACTGGACTGAACAAGATGCTGCCAGACAGCTGCAGGAGTGACAGCTGCTCAAGAATGTTTAAATAGTTGAGCATCTGCCAGAGCACACCAATAATTTGAAAACTAAAAGGACTGAAATAGGGCTCCCCAGTTGGAGGCAGTTGGCCTCTTCCAGGGAACCAGGACAACTGACTGATGACTTGAGTCACTTAAATTAAGACGTGCACAATGGACTGTAATTCGTATGTCTTGAACCACCAGTGATACATGCATAACTGTCCAATTGCGGGGCTTTTTTTAGTAAAAAGACTGATAAAAGTGATTAGATCCTTTTGTTTTTGTTTTGGTACCGGGGATCGAACTCGGGTCCTTGTGCTTGCAAGGCAGGGAGCAGGACCACTGAGCAAAATAAATCCCTGGCCCTGATTAGATCCTTTTGTACCCCTAGTAGTACAAGCTGCCTGGTGGGACAGCCATGAATATACCACTGGTGGTTCAAGCCAGCAAGAATGTTTTAATCTGGGCTTTTGATTGTTTATAAATATAAATTGTCACTTCATCCATGCAGAAATAACTCAGTAGTAAATCCTCAAATGTAGCCTATCTCAGCGTTGGGAAGAGAGCCTTTCACTGTGGCACTGCTAGACTACATGGGGCAAGACAGTGGTGGCAAACCTATGGCACTCATGCCACAGCCAGCTGTTTGTATCACTGAAAGCTCTAAAGGTTCGCCATCAATGGGGTAGGGGCTGGAGACAGACACAGGGACCATAACTGCTATTAGCTTAATGTAGAGACCATGAAGTTTTCATTATGTGAGAAACGACCAGAACGAGATCCAAACAAAATGTAGGCAAACAAGACAGTCCATAAATCAAGGAAGGACAGCAAACCATACAAATGAACAGGACCCATAGTTGTCCCTGCTTTTTTTTTTTTCATAGTGAAGATTAAGCCCAGGGTCTTCGCACTGAACTACATTCCCAGCCCTGTATTAAAATTTTGAGACAGGATCTTGCTAAGTTGCCCAGGCGGGGCACAATCCTGCCTCAGCTTCCTAGAGTGCTGGGATTATAGGCATGTGCCATCACACCACTACCTGCCTTTGGCCATGGGACAGGGAATCTTTCCTCCTGCATAGTTCTGCTTGTCTGGTTTGGGGAAAATGGAGGCAGTGAGGGGAAGAAAAGCAGTGTAGAAGAAATAGAAAGGAAGATATTCAGGGGCTGTGGATTTAGCTCAGTGGAACCACGCCTGCCTTGCAAGCGCAAGGTCCTGATTCAGTCTCCTGCAGCAAAAAAACCCATTCAGAGTTGACAATTTGTTGAAGCTCTTTGAAGCAGAGGATGATGACCATATTCTCTCACCAAGTACAGAAATCGGGAAAAGTGAGCTCAAAGGACATTAGTAGGTCCTGTGAGATACTCACTCTACCTTGTTCAGCGTTTTGCTCCCATTAGTAAATGCTCTTCCCTCGTTTCCAGGTGCAGAGGTCAATGCTTCTCCCCTCTGGAACCTGGCCCACGTGAAAATGGAGCCTCAAGAGAGCGAGGAGGGCAACGTCTCTGGGCACGGCGTGCTGGGCAGCGATGTCTTCGAGGAGCCCATGTCAGGCATGAGTGAAACTGGGATCCCTCAGAGCCCCGACGACTCAGACAGCAGCTACAGTTCCCACTCCACAGACAGCCTCATGGGCTCCTCCCCTGTTTTTAACCAGCGCTGCAAGAAGAGGATGAGGAAAATATAAAAGGGAGAGGAGGCCATTTTCAGGCCAGACCTACAACAGGCAACAGAAAACCTTATTGTACTAGAATTTGTTTTCATAAATAGGGATTTGATTCTTACTCTTGAAAAGTAGGCTATACTCATTTCAGAGAGACTGGACTTAACCAAGCAAGTCTGCATTTTACTTTGGCATCTAGTTGTTAGTTTCCCACAGCAACCAAGCCACCCTCCAGAGGGACCAGGAGACCAAAGCACTGCCCCAGACTGTCGTCTTTACTGGGACTACACCTTGCTTAGCTTCTCTGCGGCTGTTTTTCTTGCAGTTAAGAGTGACACCACGCTGACATACCATGCAGGTGTGAGGACTTCAAAGTGGTGCTTGAATAGATGCATAGAAATACATGCTGGTGTGAGCTTTTCATCTAACTCCATCCACTTCTGGGCCGCGTCTTGGGAATACAGTACTAGTACCTAACAAGAAACAGCTAACGAAGCTTCCCTTCTGTCACGTTTGTAAAAATGTTTTTGCCGCCCGTGAGGTCTTAGGTCTGTGCTAACAGCCTGGCCCACATTTTCTTCACCCTTCTCTAGACTTACTCCCTGCAGCCTTATCCTTTCTGCCGTACCTCTGACTCCGACTTGTAAGACACTGTTCGCCATGTACATTTCCCCAGGTGTTCCTTTCTTTTCTCCTTTGTGAATGAAGCAAATAGGACCAGGCCAAGCTTCATGGTTCCTCCTCCAGTAGTGTGGGCCCTGGGACACCTGCTAAGTCTCTTATCAAGGAAATGAGCTGGCAGAGGTGATGGGATTAGCAGTAACTAGCAAATGCGTGCTCCATAACTTGCTAATAGATGAGTTTCATTTTCTATGTTTTTTTTGTTTTTTTTTTTTTTGGTACCGGGGACTGAACTCGGGTCCTTATGCTTGCGAGGCAGGCGGTGGAACCACTGAGCTAAATCCCCAGCCCAAGTTTCATTTTCTAATGCAGAATACAAGTCCTGGGAAATGCAGAGCACAATTTTAATAGAGACAAAAAATAAGGTCCAGCTTTAATTAATGCATTATCAAGGACCTTAAGTGTCCTGAGCAGTAAGAATAAGGTGACTGTTGCAAAATGAGGTTATAGTTTATTAAGAAATAATTTATAAATCAGATTATAAATCTTTAGCACACTTTATCTGGACCCTTCCGGTTCCAGTTTTAGCTTTATTTCTCCTTGTTTATGAATGAAATGTCCATCAGACTGTGTGTGTAAAGTAGCCACCTGGGCACTTTATTCATAGCAAACTTTTACTAAGCACCTATTATATGCCCTAGGTCCTGTGCAAGGAATACAAAGATGATTAAGATTTAGTCCTTGCCCTTATAGAGCTGATAGTAGCATAGGAGAGACCAAGTATTTTTAAAGGCAGAGACAGGGCCAAAAGCATTACACAAGAAAACCAAGTTATGTTCAGAGCTACACTTTGTAAATGGCTTCCCCTTAAAGTTAACAGGTCAAATATTTACACCAGTGATTCCGTCTAGGTATACAAAACACTGAAATTAATACTTCATAGTAAAATACTTTTGAAAGTTTAAGTTGGGGAATACACCAGGCATGTGGCACATATCTAATCCCTGCACTCGGGAATCAAAGGCAGAAGGATCGCCATGAGTTCCAGGCCAGCCTGAACTATGTAAAGACCCTGTCTCAAAAGATGGAATAATAACAGAACCAGGGATTTAGCTCAGTGGTGCCACTGCCTGCCTTAAGCACAAGGACCCAAGTCTGATCCCTGGTACCAAAAAAATAATAACAATAATAATAATAATAATACATTGTGGAACAGGCACAGATGGTCAAGATCAGGGTATGCTCCTAAGGAGGATCACTGAGTCACTTGAGGGCTGGTACCCAGTTCACCTGGCTGGAAAGATGTCATAGGCTTCTGAGCTGAAGCAGTGTTTCTCAAACCAGTGTGTGCCAGAATCACCTAGAGGGCTTGTTAAAATGGACTGCTAGACCGCACCTACAGTTTCGGACTCAGTAGGTTTTGCGAGGTGTATTTAACAATTTTCCCACTGATGCAGGTGCGTCTGGCTCAGAGAATAGGCTCTGCGAACCACCGACAGTCAGGGCAAACCCTTATGATGGCTGTGATGGACAGAATGGGCAGCTAACGGAAACCCAGGGCATTTGAATAAAACACCAGCGATACTCCGAAGTTAGTGCAAAGTATCAAAAACAAACCAGGCTTGGCTCCGTGCCTGGTTACCAGGTGTCTCTAACCTGGGAAACTGGTGCCCATCACCACCTTAGTAAAACAGGTTTGGATGTCACTTTAGGCCTCTGCTGAAGACAGTGACTATTAGTGATAACTTTTTGATTTGAGACCATTACAGGCAGGCTTATAACAGAGTTACAATTAAAATCTCTTTATCCAGATCGCCATTTAAACAAGTCTTATTCAGAAGTCATGTGCTTTGCCCTTTCTTCAGCAAACCTGGTGTCCAATGACGAGCTACCTAGTGTGGCGCACATTTCATACCAAGCAGACTGGGTGCCAAGGAGACTCCTGCTCCTCTGCACAAACTTGTTTCCCTTCTCCCTTTGTGCTAAGAGAGCAGCGCCGGTCAAGGGCACAATGCTGAGAAGTAGATGCTATGGGTCCAGCCTGATAATCGAGATCTGAAGTGGTAATCAGACCAGTAACCTCTCCGTATTCCATAAGCAGCAAGAGTACTTGAGTTTAAATGGTAAAACTTGAAGTTTTGGGCCTGAAGGGTTTCCTGTTTCCGAGATCAGTCAATATATCCTTCCTTGCACAAATAAATACAAGGGAAAGGCCAAAGCAGAGCTGGCATCTACTTTCCCTGACTTCATCTGAGTCACAAGGTTTCCCTAAGAGAAACTGTTATTCTGAAGAAGAAAACATTTTTTACAGTGCTAGGGATCAAACTCAGGGCCTCATGCATGCTAGGCAAATGCTCTACCATGGTACAAGTCCCCAAATCCCCAGCGACAGAACTGTTCGCCATTTCCCCGATAAGAGGTAAGGACAGTTTATTCACATGGAGGTCCACAATTTGGGACTTCTGCAAACAAGTTAACTTTCCTAAAAGTTTATTTGTTGCTTCTCTTCCAGTACTGTGCCATTGATTCTTGCATAAAATTTTGAAATGCTGGCTCTTCGTGGCTTTCCTCTGTAACTGAAAGGAAAAAAAAAAAACAATTTTAAAAACTCCTTAGACAGGGCCAGGGATTTAGCTCAGTGGTTCCCCTGCCTGCCTCGTAAGCACAAGGACCCGAGTTCGAACCCTGATACCAAAAAAAGAAAAAAAAACTCCCTAGACAAAAACACACCAGCAGAAGAAACTCGGACCCACTTAAGCATCTTCCTGTTAGTAAAGCTCTCCTCTGTGTCACTGCATTGTTCCTTTTCTTTTTTTTTCCTTTGTACCAGAGATTGAATTCAGGACCCTATGCTTAAGCAGGGTGCTTAAGCACTGAGCTAAATCCCCGGCCCTGTTCCCTTCTCTTGAGCAAAGATCACTGCTCTCCTCCCAGCTCCTACAACACTTGGCTCATGTTATGCGTGGTGCCCCCCTCGGGTCTGGAGTCCCATGAAGAGGCCACTAACTTCCACTCGGTGTCCTCAGGGCCCAGGCCGGTGCCCAGTCCAGGGAGCAGGAAGAGGAGTTGGCCAGTGAATGCACTCCCTTCCTCACGCTCCTTCCAAGGCCAGGACTACACTGGGCCCCATGGGGAACACTGTGCAGACTTGGATAAGGGCGTCTGCTGTAGCTTCTGACCTTTGACTTAGAGGCAGTAGCTTGAATAATGAAAACAAGTGTTAAAAAAAAAAAAAAAAACCGCACACAAAAGTGCTCAGTGTTAGATTCTTCAAGAAATACTGAGTTCACAGTTTCACAAATAGTATCATAAAATGCTTCAGGCTTCACTGTATTTTGAGATCACTAGAATAAAATCTTCCTTTTTAATCACTCAAAAAAATAAAAACAAAAAGCCTCTTAGGCAAGCACATCAGGGCTCCTGTCTGTCACCCAGCCATCAGAAGTACTCATTTCTCACAGGGAACGACACCCAGAAGCATGCTGGGCTTACCATGTTGCCAAACGTGCTGCTTTGTAAGTGGGGAGAACACCTCCTTCATAAAGTATTAGGTTCAATGAGGTCCCACACTTAGGTATTTTTTCTTCTTCTTTTTTGTATTGGGGACTGAACTCAGGCACTTCCCAGGCAAACACGATGCCACTGAATTACATCCCTAGCCTACAAAGGCCTATTTGTAAATGTCCATAGCACCTTTACTCATAACAGCTCAAATAAACCCAGATGTCAATTAGCTGTGGATGGATAAGCAAATGGTAATACAGCCAAGTAAAGAATATGACTCAGTAATAAAAAAGAACATACTGTACTACTGCACTGATGAACATGTTCCTATACTCCGTGAAACAACATGAAGAAAACACGAAATCATGATGTGTGAAAAAGACTAAAATACCATTTATGGTCACTCTGGAATAGCAGAACAGTTGGAACAGAAATCAGCCAGTGGTTGCCAGTAACTGTTTAGGAAGGAGCCCTAAGAAGAATTCTAGGGTTGATAGAAGTATTGTGTTTTGATTGTGATAATGGTGACATGTTTGTTAAAACTCATCAAACTACATACTTAAAAGTCATTATTTTCCTATTTCTAAATTACATCTCAATAAATCCAATTAAATGAGGCTGAAGCAGGAGGATCTCAGATTCAAGGCTAGCCTGGGCATCTTAGCAAAACATTGTCAAGTAAAGAGGGTTACAGATGTCAGGTATGGTGGTGCACACCTGTGATCCCAGCACTCAAGAGGCTGAGGCAGACGAATGCCACAAACTCAAGGCCAGCCTGAGCTAACTTGAGTTCAAAGCCAAAAGCCCAAAGTACGTAGTGAGACCCTGTCTCAAAAAAAAAAAAAAAAAAACACAAAAAAACAAAAACAAGCTAGAGCTGTAGCTCAGTGTTCAACTCTCAGTACAAAAGGAAAAAAAGAAGAAGAAAATAGTAGATGCATCTTACAGTCCATAAAACTGCCAAGTGGAACCAGCGTTCGAGACCCATTCTATCCTCACTCTTCTAACCCTGACTGCTAAGACCTCCCTGTGCGTTCTTTTTTCCCCAGTGCTAGCAATTGAACCCAGGGCTTTCATGCTGAACTAAATCCCCAGCCCATTTTTTATTTTTTATTTTGAGACAGGGACTTGCTAAGTCCCTGAGTTGCCCAGGCTCAGCCAAAACCCGTGATCATCCTTCCTCAGCCTCTCGGAGTGCTGGGATTATGGGCAGAAATCATTCCACCCAGGTCTTACGCATTCTTGAAACACTGGGGCTGGCGATGTAATACAGTGGCAGAGTGTATCAGCATAGACAAGGCCCTGGGTTCCATCACCAGCATGAAAAGAAAATTTAAAAAAATTTTTTAGCTGGGCATAGTGGCACATGTCTATAATTTCAGCACTTGGGAGGCTGAGACAGAAGCAGTGCCCAGGTCCAGATTAGCATAGGCCACATACAGTTTAAGACCACCTGAACTACATAGTAAGACCTGTCTCAGAAAGAAAAAAAATAACTAAAAACCACAACACTGGGCTGGGATTTAGTTTAGTGGTTCCACTGCCTGCCTCACAAGCACAAGATCCTGAGTTTGATCCCCGGTACCAAAAAAAAAAAAAAACAAAAAACAAAAAACAAACAAAAAACCCACTAATAACAACAAACTAAAATCTTGGATTCTTTACACTGAGTTAAATGTAAAGACCCAGAAGACACAAGACAAAAGGCCGACAGCCAAGGGACTATTAACCATTTAATCGGAAGACCGGAATTTTCAATTAGCAATAGAGGCAATTTTGCTGGTGCTATAGCCTTCACCTTCTCTTCTTCCTCCTATCACTCCCCACAAGTTTAAGATCTTTTCTCAACAACAAGAAAGTCCTGGGCAAGCAACAGCTGTTTCCATGAGCACCTCAGCCTCCTCACCTCTGTGATCAATGTCATCAGTGTCACTGTCAGCGTCCTCATCCTCTTCATCCAAGGTTCCACGAGTCAGGATCAAGTCAGAAGGGTCTAGCACAGGAGATAGGCTGTCTAGAGGGGAAACATTCGTCAGTACATACAGCTCTTCAAACAGGTGATTCCAGGGGCCACGGATTTAGTTCAGTGGTTCCCCACCTGCCTCACAAGCGCAAGGATCTGAGTTCAATCCCCAGTACAAAAAAAAAAAAGGTGATTCCAAATCAGTAACTGTAATTGTAAGTGTTCGCGATGAATATAAATGCAGGCCCTTGCTGCTTCTAAATGTGTGGCTAATGTACTGGTTTAGTTCACAAAGTGCTGTCATAAGCCCAGTAGTGCAAGGAGTCCCATATTTCCCTCTGAAGAAAACACAAGACACCGTGTCCAGGAGGAGCAATCAATGTTCTTTCCCTAGCTCACACCCTGGAAGACACTACCAGCGTGGTTTTTCCTTGGAAGGCTAAGTCACCTGAGCATATCCAGTGTGCTGGTGGCTGGAGGCAAAAGGACAGAGCACTGAGGAGGCTCCTCTTTGCCATGTTCAGAGAGGGCCTGAAGAAAGTACAGGGTGAAATGAGAATGAAAAGCCAAAGCATTTTTCCAGAAAGGGAATGAGACAGAAAATGGTAAATAAAATATACTAATAGAAGTAAAATTCCCTAGTGTAAGGACGGCGAACTTTTAGAGCTTTCAATAATAACAGCCTGGTGTGGCACACGTGCCCTAGCTTGGCCACCACTGCCCTAGGGAAACTAACAGAAGACAGTCTAGGCACGTAACTGCTGATGGGATTCAGCCTCTGGGAGGTAGTTGCTACAAGCAAATAAAACCACTGGAGAAGACAGCCACTCTCTCTTCAGGAACCTAGGAAGCTTTCAAGAGCACAACTAGGGTTAATAAGGAGGGCCAAAGGCAGCAACATGAGCGGCACAAATCTCAAGGGACCTGAGGCCCCGCAGGGAGGATGGCAGGGTATGCTGATAAGTAAAGGCTGCGTTCCTTGCCCAACCAGGAATCACCCAGCTATCCTTATGATTTTCCTCCAATGACCCACAGAAACTCCCCTAATCTTCAACAGCTTCTCGGAACACAGCGGGCCTTTGCAAGAGCAGACACGTTTGTCACTTCCTGTACTCATGCGTGTCCCTGAAGGACCAGCACACAGAAATTTACACTGCTGTGTGACCCGAAGATGGCTCAGCCGAGTTCACAGAACTGGTACACCCAGTCCTTTTCCAGCTTTGTTGTTCTCAACGGGAGATAAACCAATGCTTTTTTTTTGTTTGTTTGGTACCGGGAATTGAACTCGGGTCCTTGAGCTTGCAAGGCAGGCCTCCGGACCGCTGAGCTAAATCCCCGGCCCCCAATGCTTTCAAGAATAGAAATTTCACTCCTTTAACAAAGTTTTCCCAGAAAATGTTAGTGTCACTGATGCAGAGGAAAAAATAAAAGTACATCCCATTTACTACAATTAATAAATGAAGAAAACTGAGCATACTATTTTTGAAAAGTCCATCCAATTTAGTTGCAGAATCCCACTGAGCTGCAATAGACTTATACCCCTCACAGAGAAGACAGCCCCGCAGGCTGCACAGGTAGGGGCCAGGGGTGTGCACGTTAAGAATATGCACCAGCATGAGAGGCAATAACACTGACTCAAATAATAAAAACTCAGCAAAGTAAGCGGGATGAAAACACTAATATAAATCAAAAGCCTTCACATACACAAACATGTGCCAAGCAGAAGACTGAATAGTGCAGAAAATCCATTTTCAACAACAAAGATTCCTTTGCATAAATTTATCAATTTTTTTGGCTCAGTGGTGCTGCCTGCTTCGCAAGTGCAAGGTCCTGAGTTTGATCCTGGTACCAAAAATAAATGGCCAGCCTGAACAACATAGTGAGACCCTATCTTAAAAAATCAAAAATAGGGCCAGGGATTTAGTTCAGTGGTTCTGCCACCTGCTTCACAAGCAGATGGTCCCAAGTTTGATCCCCAGTACCAAAAAGTAAATAAATGAAACAAAATAAGCAACAGGACAAAGATTTCTATTCTCACCACTCCAATTCAATAAAGTGCTTGAAATTTTAGCCTGAGCAATCAAGCAAAAGAAAGAAATAAATGGAATACAAACAGGAAAGAATAAAGTCAAATTATCATCATTTGCAAAGGATATGGTCCTATATTCGGAAAACCCTAAAGACTCCACTGAAAGACCTTAGAGCTGATAAACTGAGGAAGGGAGCAAGATACAAAGCCAACATTAACTGCCGCCTGCCTCACAAGCACAAGGACCCAAGTTCGATCCCCGGTACCAAAAACAAAAACAAAAACAAAGTCAACATTAAGCCAGGTTTGGTGGTGCATACCTATAATCCCAGTACTCTGGAAGGCTGAGGCAAGAAGATCACATGTTCAAGCCCAGCATGGGATACTGGGTGACTTCGTGAGACCCTTTCTCAAAACTTTTAAAAAGGGGCCAGGGATGTAGCTCAGTGTAATGACCTTGGGTACAATCCCTAGTACACCCCCGCAAAAAAGCTTTTCTATACACCAATAATGAATTAGCTGAGAAAGAAATCATGGAAACAATTTCTTTCACAATAGCTTCAAATAAAATAAAATGAGTAGAATCAACATATTCAAGGAGGTAAAAGACCTCTACAATGAAAATCACAAAACACTGAAAAGACAGTATATGTGGGCTCTCCAACTTTAGCTTAGTGGTGCCACTTCCTGCCTCAAAAACACAAGGTCCTGAGTTCAATTCCCAGTACCAGAAAAAAAAAAAGACAGTAGATGATATAAAGACCGCCCATGTTCACAGACAGCAGAATATTGTCAAAATGGCCATATTTCCAAAAGCAATCTACAGATTCAATGCAATCCTCATCAAAACTCCAATGACATTCTTCTTAAAACTAGAAAAAACAGGGCCAGGGGTTAAGCTCTATGGTTCCACTGCCTGCCTCCCAAGCACAAGGACCCGCGTTCAATCCCTGGTACCAAAAAAATAAATAAATAAAACCAGAAAAAATAATCCTAAAATTCACATACAAACAGAAATGACCCAGTACAGCTAAAGCAATCCTTAGGAAAAAAAAAAAAAAAAAGGCTGGAGACCTCATAGCACCCAATTTCAAATTCAACTACAAAGCCATAGTAACAAAAACAGTATGGCAATGGCACAAAAATAGACACATAGACCAATGGAATAAAACAGAGGACACAGAAACCAACCCATACAACTACAGCTATCTGATTCTTGACAAAAAGGCCAAAAACATACACTGTGAGAAAAGATAGCCTCTTTAACAAATAGTGCAGAAAAACTAGACTATGTTCAGAAGAGTGAAACTAGGTCCGTATCTCTTACCCCATACAAAATTCAGTTCAAAGTGGATCAAAAACCTAATATAAGAGGTAAAATTTTCAAAATGCAAGAAGAGACACTTGAAGTCACAGGTATCGGCAAAGACTTCCTGAATAGGCACGTCTCCAAAAACACAGAGAATAACTTCAAGAATCAATAAATGGGCCAGGAATTCAGCTCAGTGGTTCCACCACGCCTTGCAAGTACAAGGTCCCAAGTTTGATCCCTGGTACCATAAGTAAATAAATAAAATAGAGGGCCGGGGATTTAGCTCAGTGGTCCCACCGTCTGCCTCACAAGCTCAAGGTCCTGAGTTCGAGCCGCAGTGCCCCCCCAAAAAAAATCAATAAATGGGACTACATCAAATTAAATGTTCTGCACAGCAAAGGAAACAACCAACACATTGAAAAGACAGCCTACAGAATGGAGGAAAATCTGCCAATCCTTGAATGATAGACAATATGTAGAATATACAAAGAACTAAAAAATTTAATGCCAAAAAAGATCAAAAAGACTAATCAATAAATTGGCTAAGGATTTAAACAGATACTTCTCAAAAGAAGCACCACAAGCTGAGCATGGTAGCACACACCAGTAATCCCAACATTCCCAGTACAAGGGGGATGCAGGTTCAAGCCCAGCCTGGACCAATTAGTGACTTAGTGAGACTGCGCCTCAAAATAAAAAATAAAAAAGGCCTGGATATATAGTCCAGTGCAAGAGCCCTAGGTGCAATCCCAAGTAAAAAGAGGGAGGAGGGAGGAACGGAAGGGTAAAGAGAAGGGAAAGAAGAGGAAGGAGACAAGAGGAAGAAGAGGAAGAAAAGGAGGAAGAAGGAGAAGATGAAGAAGGGACAGGAAGAAGGGGAAGGAAGAGGAGGAGACGGGGGGAGGAGGATAAATGGTCAATAAGTACATGAAAAAGTGCTCAACACTTCAGCCATCAGGGAAATACATCAAACAACACTGGGATGCCACCATCAAGAAGGCTATCATCAAGAACAGAAATAACAGCAAGGCAAAGTGGCTCACTCCTATAACCCCAGCACTCTCAGAGGCTGAGGTAAAGGAACATTGAGTTCCAGGCCATCCTGGACTACACAGTAAATTCAAGCTGGCCTGGACTTATATGGTAAGCCCCTGTTCAAAAAAGTAAGTAAATAAATGAATACAAAAATCAAAAGGGGCTGGGGATTTAGCTCAGTGGCTCTGCAGCCTGCCTCTCAAGTACAAGGACCCAAGTTCAATCCCCAGTACCCGAAACAAAAACAAACAAACAAAAAAAATTTTTAGCCGGGCGTGGTGGGGCATGCCTGTAATCCCAGCACTAAGGAGGCTGAGGCAGGAGGATCACTGTGAGTTCAAGACCAGCCTAGGCTACATAGTGAGTTCCAGGTCAGGTCAGTGTCAACTACATAGTGAGACCCTGTCTCAAAGAAAAAAAAAAAAAAA